GCCTCTATGAGGGAGGAGTTACGCACGTGGGAGCAGAAATACTCGAGGCTTTATGAGGCACATAAGAGGGTGCAAAAGGTCAATCAAAATCTTGAGGACAAATTGTTGAGGATTGTGGATAAATGTGAGACTGAAAAAGGTGCCTTCACCAAGGATATTGCCACGCTGTCACATCGATTGGCTGATGCGAACTACAGGATTCATCGGTTGTCACAGGATAATGTGAGTGTTTAATTAAGAGCGATGATAAGATGGATTTTGTCGGCGAGCTTCGAACAAAATTTTATTCGAGTGGGATTAGTACAGAAATAATTGAAATATTGGTTGAAACACTCGTGAGTAATTAAAAAATGATGTTTTGATAAAGATTGCTCAGGACAAAGTTGACATGGATGTGCAATTCAGATAACGATAGTGGACGGAGGAATGAACACACCTGGATATCTTTTTTTTTTAAAGGAAACGGTTTAAACACAGAATTATCGGAACTAGTAACGACAATTTTTGTTATCAGTTTCTTATTTATATAGACTGTGTATTTCGTCGATATTTGAGTTTGTATTACTTGAAAGAATGGGGAAACTCTGGAAATTTTGGTTGTTGAAATATTCTTCAATCTGTAAATTGAATGGAATTAATTTATCCAGTGTTATCGTTTTAACCGCGGAATAATACAATCAGCATATTTCCCCAAGTAACTCCATTCTCTGCTTAAAATAACAAATCCATAAAGTTTAATTTGAAAACAAACCGAACGTGCCTGTCCCAACACCATCAATATAAATCAAATTTCCATACAAACTGGAATTAACCAGCACCCCTAAAAAACATATTTTTTCCAGGCTGAGTATCGCAATGACGTGACACTGGCCATACAACTTCTCCAATGCAAGCCTTCGAATTTTGTAGGGCAAAAATACGACTCGCTCCCAACAGAAGTTCAAGCCAAAGTGAAAACCTACATCACCCAAAAGCGAAGATCGAGCGACGTATCGCCCCCAGACGTGAAAAGCATAACAGTGCCAATCTCCACATTTCCGCCAACAGCAATGGTCTACAACATCAGCAAGCCAAACCCCATTGAAAAATACAGCGACGATGAGAGTGACGATGGCAAGCCCCCAGTGGACATTGTCTCAGCCTCGATAATGGCAAAAGTCCTGGAAGACCGTGAGAAAGAAAGAATTTTCGCGAAACACTGTGACACCTGTGTCTGCCACAAAACAATTCTCATGGTGGATTCAGAGTGCCAAACCACCCTCATCATCACCGAGGACAGCTACAAAAAACCATCGATGAATGGCTACACGTCGCTCCGTCAGGTTTCTCCCCAAAAGCCAAATCAAAACTCCCAGTCCTCAGTTCAAGCGAAAATTCTTCTCGAGAGATCCCAAAAAACTATCGCAGTCAAGTCGAAGCAAACTAAAGCTAAGAAACTCGATCTCCCCGAGATGATACCCCAGGCGACATCACCAATGGTCACCAGACGCTCTGAAAACCTAGACGTAGCCAATGCAAACCCCACTCAGAGCCCAGCGGACATAATAAACGATAGGATCTGGAAGAATACGTGGTCCAACAAGACAAAATTAGGAATAAATGGCAGCCCTGAGGATCCCTCTAAGCCCCCAAGATGCAATAGAACAGGGGATATAGACCTGGACGTGATAAATGAGAGAATTTGGAAGAAAAATTCCAACAACAATCAGAATCAGAACCAGAATGCCACTCACAATCAGAATCAAAATCAAAATCAAAACCAAAATAAAGTAACATTAATAGAAGTAACTAACGCTGTAAATTTAAACCAAGTAAGCCAAAGCCCAGGAGTAGCAGTGAGTCCTAGCTTCAGCAGTGATAGTTCAGCCGTTATGATCTCCAGCTCAGAACCTTCCAGCAGCTCCAGTGATCTCATCCAATCTAAGAGTGACAAACGAAGGGCTTTTAACGCAAATACGACAAGCAATACAGCTAGAAATTGTCTGATGAGAGTTAGCCAGACCTCGAAAAATATTCTCCTGGATAATGCACGGGGAAACTATCAGACTATTGTTTACACAAGTCCAGAGAGCCTCAGTGGCAGTCCCAATGCCAGTAATCTATCCAACACAACAGCACTAGTTCATAATAATGCATTGAAGAGTCGATCTCTATCGACTAGCAGTGACGAGGCGTTCCCAATTCTTCCGAATGACTCGCCGACACAATTGCACAGTGCACAGAGGGTCGCTGAGTGGGTACAATCTTCTGTAACTAGTTCAAAGGGTAAAAAGGGAATTGAGGGAGTGATGGGGAGCAAGAGTCATACGTTGATCAATATGCCGGGGTTTGATGATAAGTTTAATGGGGATAATAGGTGCTCCAGTGCTTCACAGGTGCAGGGTAATAGTTTACATTCACTTACTTTCAATACCATTGAAGTTGATCGAATTGGAGATTGTCAGGAGATTAAAATACCTGAGAAATTGGAGGACGATTCTACCCAGGTTAAGGACCTCATTTCGTTTGATTCGAATAATGAGGAGGATGGTGAGGAGGGGGAGATGAAAGCTGAGGGGAATTATCAAGAGATCAAGATTACCAAGGAGATGGAGGAGACTTATCTCAAACTGGCTGCTAGTCTTGATCCAGTGTCGTTGAGTCTTTCTACTTGCGTTAACCCAGATATCACTATTGAGAAGTATAGGAAGGATCATAAGAGACTCAATCCCCAGAAAATTTTTGATAAACCTGGGGCGAATACATAGCGAGAAATGTGAAGGGTATGCATACAAATCTTTTCCTTTTTTTTTTCCTATGTCCTATCCTGTCGTGTGGAAGCTTAAAATATCGAAAATTTCATTCACACACACGGGGCTTTTTTTTTATTATGGAGAATAGAAATAAAAAGAGCGAAGAGAAATATACCTTGCCGATGAGGCTAAATCAAACTGAAATTGTATCATTATGCATTCACATTTACATGTCGCGTGTTGATTTAATAATTAATGAAAAATGGGATAAAAATGCGTAAAATAATTGGCATAATATGAATTGCATGTTGTTTGGGCCTAAACTGATTTAATGGCGATATATATTCCGTAATTATATGAGACGAAACGTTGAAATCAAATGGCATAAATGTACACACATTTTTAATGTTTAAAATTAATCAGTTCCTTGTGTATTGGAAATTTTGAATGTGTATAAAGACTCAACTGACAATACGGTGAATGATTAACTCACATCAACGCAAATTATGTACGTGCAAGTGGAGGGAGGTGAATTTGAAGGCTTTTTCCTCGCTTGGTATATCATTACGATTATCATCTTAGACAGTATTATGAATTTGATTAATCGCTTTCAACGCGTTATATAATTATGATGCCAAAGGTCGTACTTGTGATTTTCAAATGGACAGTTGGTATGAAGATAAAAATGAGGGAAATCGGCCTTTAATAGTTTTTAGAACTGGGAAGGAAAGAAAAAGCACGATTTATATAAATCGGTAGTCCAGTGGTGGAGTAGATGCACCATTTTATCTCGATTAATTTACCGTGAATTTTCTTTTGACTCGGATATTATTTATGTATTATTCAATACGAATAAAATTCCATCGACCACTGAATATCACCATTACTTTGATATTAACTCAAAATTTTAAGTAATTCAGTCGAAACTGGAGCGAGTCACTCACCCAAAATGGGAATTAATCAAATTGAAGGTCTGGTTATATTATCTTTTAAAGGTTACCCCTATTTAAAAAAAATCTTATCTCATTGATGAGAAAATATCTTCCTCCTTACTATCGAGACATAAAAAATCGTCAACATACCGAAAAAATAAAAAGAAAAAAGTGATAGAACCAGCGGGGCTTGTCTTTCCCTTTACCCTGAAACCGAATAACAAAATGATAAACCGTGTGCGTGATATATATTAATATATATTAATATAATTTAGTAAGGAGAATGTTGAACGACTGGGAGGGATGTTCGATAGAGCGTCTGTATATACTGAATTACTAAAAAAAAATAAATAAATAAATCGAACCAACCAAAAGATGCAATAAAATTATTTTAAGCTTTCCTAATTATAAACGCAGTAAAACGAAGAGTTTAAAGGTCAGATATTGAAGATAGTCACTAGCAGGATGATAGAATGAAATATGGCCCTGCCCAGTTTTCCTTCCAATCAAGCTAATGTTCCGATAATTGGTTGAATGCAGCTGAGTACCAGATCAATTCAGTGGGATAAAAAACTCGGTGAGTAACGACCCAGATTTTTCAACACCAGGATTCTTCATTTTGTTCATTTTCCACTGCTCCTGTTGTTCATCGGAGCGCAGCAAAACGAAGAGTATCGTGTTATTAACATTATCAGTGCATCACCAAGTGTGAAGAGTTGTCTCAACAGAATTGTTTGATGTTTGAAGTCATCAGATTTTTTTATTATATGTGTTTTAATGAAATTTCCATTAAAGACCTCCACTAAATTTCCCATTGATTCGAAAAAAAAATTAATTCGAAAAAAATTGGAATTTTTAGTCATCTGACAAATTGTTTATATAGAATTATTATTATATATATATATATGGCTCTGAAAATGGAGAATCACCGGAATAACGATTGAGAATATTAACATGAGGGTTTAACAAAGGGTTTATTGAAATATTTTTTAATTTAGTGGATTGCTGAATAATAGAGTGATTAGGGAGTACAGCATAAGGTTGAAGCCGTCAGTTGGAGCCGCAGTTCGGTGGGCGATTGGGGGTGGCCGTCGGTGAATGGTCGGTCAGTCAGAAGCACCTGAAACGGTCAAGCAAGCGCCTGAGAACTCAGAACGGTCAGAACGCCTGACCAAGTTGGGTCGACACCACTCAATCCACTTACTCTCTTCATTCACTTCATTCATTCACCCAGTGACACCCCTAATCCCAAAATTGACATTTATTTTTCTACTCCCTTCCCCTTTCACTCACCCACAGCACAGATAGTGCAACATTAATGAATTATTATTAAAAAATATCTATGGTGCGTTATTGTGTGGTGGTGCTAGGAGCAGGTACGTAACATCTAAAAATAAAAATCCAAGTGAGAAAATAATACTGTAGTTGGTAATTTAATGAGGATTATTTTAATGGAAAATATAAATAACGGGTTTGAGGTGGTTAAATAAATAAATTGGTGCAAGCACAGAATGACAACAAAGTCAAAGTCACGGAGAAATGGAATGAGACCGGAGACAGACGTGGGCTTCCGGTTGCTAGATAGTGCCAACATCAACAACTACTATTTGAGTGTTGTTAATTATGAGCCGCCAGAACCACCGAGGGCACCCGAGCCTTACAAGCTCGCATCCTCGACAATGGCACGTGCACATAGAAAATCAAGTTTTGTTATACTTGCTGAGACTGAGGAGGGATCAGCCAAATCGTCCAGTGATTCGCCGACTCATGGGGGGCGATCGAGATCGGCGAGATCGACGAGATCGAGGAGCCCTGTGTCACCAACCAGGCCAATCAGGACTGGCAGGGCCTCACCCTTTCGTCCCAGGGGTTTCAAAGGACCGCCCCCCCATGCTCAATCTAGGGCCCCCAGCCCCCCGCCAATTCTCCAACGCCGGAGATTCGTTCAAACAAGTAAATAATCCATTATTACAATTTTATTTTGTAGAGCAAGGATTTTCTTTAATTACCAAATAAATTAGATCTTTCCCGAAAATTCTAACTCTCCGTGAGAAATTTATATCGATCCTTTTCACCACTTAACGTTAACGAGACTTCACGGAGAAAACAGATTCGGCTAAAGCATTTACCCTAACATCACGTGCACCGGAATTTTAAGGCTGAAACTCGCCAGACTGACTTTAGTACGTCAATTTCCCTTCAACCTTTCCTTCCCTTCTACCCCTACAGCACAAATTTTTCTTTCTCTCACTATAGAATTTTTCTACACTATTGGAAAATTATTTTTATATTGAAATTGTAATATGAAGAAATTTCACTCCAGCACTGACGAAAAACGAAAGTCCAAGTGAAATTGTCTCATCTCGCCGTCCATTAAAATGACGTAATAAAAAAGAAAACCGATTTCCAGTGGATTGTTAATTACCCCATCCTCTGAAATTTACGTAATGACTCAGCGCATTATTCTTTCCAGAGTCACTTTCACAAGGCAACAGCCCACGAAAACAATCGCTGATTCCTCAGCCACGTGGTGGTCTGACAACAATCAAGTCGAAAAATCAAAAGCCAGAGCGAGAAAGATGGGAGCGCCGAGGTAGTAGAAAGTTTACTAATTTGCCACGGACAAGTTCCCTCAAGACACCCCAACCAGTGAGAAGACCACTGATCGAGGCAAGCCGCCAAGCTAAGGGAAAACCTCCAAAGACCATGACGAAATTGCCAAGACAGGCGCTGAAATCCCCAACTAAAATTCCCATCCGTAATTCCACCAACTCCATTAACACTCGTTTCGTAAAGATCTCCAATGATAACACCACAAAGATTAAAAAACCAGAGAGCTTTCCGAGACAGCAGCAAACATTGAACCAGCCATCAGCCCCCATTGTTCCATTATCAATGAAGAACATTTCAAATCCCCCCGACTCATCGCCCCTCGTCACCGACGACTCAGTGATAATGGGAGGACTCTCCGGATACAGTGATAGTAGTATTAGAAGAACGAGGGAGGAAGAGGAATTGGGTCTTGTGGATTTGCTGAAGCAATCCTCAGGGGCCAGTGGCACCTCCAGTGTTGTTAATCTCACAACAACCACCGCCGTTCAGCCCCTCAGGATCGATGCTGCGACAATTCTCCCTCAGGCATCACCTGCTGATGCACCACCTGAGAAAAAAGAGTTTAATTCTCTCATTTCACCGAATCCCGCCCCCAAAAAAATGTCTCCCTCGGTTGACAAAAGGGAAACCGAGAGGAGTCAGATTGTCACTGCCGTGGCTTCAGTTGAGCCAGTAAAAGACGAAAAACTCCCTTCAATCTCTCAAACTCCTCAGCCATCGAAACCACCAGCAAAGCCCACCACCTCCAAGGATAATATTAAACCTGATAAAAATGAGTCGAGCAATCCGGTTGATATGGAGTCTGTGCAGAATCCCCTGTCCTCAAATCCCCATGATACGAGTTCTGTTGTCGTTGATGAGAGCCAGAGAGCATCGAAAGCTGGCTCTAAAGCACAGTCCAAGGCAGGATCGAAGCCCCAATCGAATCGAACCAGTCCAAGGAGTGTCAGAGGTAATGACGGTCCGAAGGATATTGAGAAGGGCGAGAGAGAGAGAGAGGGATCTGCAACTGCCAAAAATCAATTGAGGAATCATGGGAGTGAGACGTCTTTAAAATCCTCCAAATCCAATGGATTGTCCACTGGATCAGTTGAGAGCATTCGCTCGACGGACACTGGAGTGAGTTTAAATACTGTTAGGGGGGTACATGGGGTCTCTTCGGCGAGGGAGAAAAGGGGGACACACATGGTGAAGAGAGCCGATGAGATCGAGACACTCAGTGGGAATGTCATGCATTTGGAGAGGGCTACGAGACCTGAAAACGGAGAACCTGCGTGAGTATTCAAAATTCTTAGATAAATTGAGATTAGATAAATTGGATAGATTAAATTAAGGGTTTTCGCCGCTGTTTGTAAACACTTAATATTGACATCTTTTAGTATCTCAATGAATTCTAAGCAGAAATCTATATAAGGTATTCCGAGTGAACTCGCGGTGCAAATCCTTACCCCCTCCGATTGTATTACCATTTTTTTTCCATATTGTACACATCATTAGATGACTTGAATTTTTTTACAATTTTTGGCCAAGGAATTTTGAACAAGAAAAACCCAATAATTTTTTTTTCAATTTTTTTCCATTTTTTCCAATTTTTAAGAGAATAGTGACAAATGGCTGGTCGTATTAACGGGAAAAAATAAAATTTCTCAAGTTTTCACTGATTTAGGATTATTGTTTGATAGTACTGTTTTGGATGAGTTAGAAAGGCGGTGGCATGGTGGGATTTTGAATGATCCTAAGGATTGTTGGGTATGAAAG